GCCTGCCCCTCGCCGCCCGCCGCCGCCGGCCTGCGCCCGGGACCCCTGCCGGGGCCTCCAGCGGGCCTCGCGTCCGCGTTACCTTCTGACAACCGCTTCTCCGTTTCAGCCGAGCGGCGACCCTACGACACGCGTCTGGTAGTCATACTTCCACCCAAAAGGGGGAAAGGGAAGCCAATTTAATATAGATCTTACCCGCCGCTGACAGACAAAACCTTTAAAGACGCGCTGGAGCTGGGAATGGTTATAGGCTTCCGGGTATTAGGTGACCTGGATCCTTTGTGGTTTTGTCTTAAACGAATCGTCATATCTTGGGCAAGTCTCTAATCCCTCTGTGTCAGTTCCCTGGTTTGAAGTAAAGCGAAAGGTGGGTGTACCTGCCGTTTCTACAATGAATGGGGAAGCATCGTTCAAACGCTAGTTTCAAGGTTGTGCAAGTTGGGTGCTGGAATTCAGTATAGTGAGTTACGGTTAGCTGGGGAGACGGAAGGGCACGCTCGTGAGTGGGGCGAATTTTCAAACCAGGCACAGCCCACTTTGGTTACCACCATAGCGACCACCGCACTGATGAATGACAGGTCCCTGAGGTGCGCGAGGAGGGACAAAGATGACAAGCCTGGTTTCAGAGGCACTGGTGACTCTATGTAATCAATCATGTTCACAAAATAACTACCGTTACTGAAAAGAGTTAGGAAAAAAGCTTAGTTTCCACTTAGTTGAGCCGTCTCTTGCACTAATAAAAAGTGACGCCTCCTCCAGCAGTGCCAGCACCGTCCTGTTCTTTGACATACAGAGATGGAAGGTGACAGGTTTTACTGCTCCAGGCAGGGCACTTAGTGCTATTTGCTTGTTCTGAATGCCCCGCTGTACCACTTAGTACATAAATCATGAAAAGCATTGGTATTTGGGGGAAAGGAGAGTAGCCCACCCCTCCTTCCATTTGCTATTCTTTATTTTAAAGTGCTAAAACATAAAAGAAATCATTGTCTATTTTAAGTAAAGGGTATAAACCTTGTGTAGTAACTACGACCCTTGCATGAAAGCTGATCACCAATACCAAACCCCGTCTCACCACTGTTTCCTCTCCAACTTTTCCACACCTACACCCTCACACAGACTGCTGCTGAAAAGAATCTGTGTTCACAGACTGGACAGTTAGTACATTATAACCCGTTATCCCATCTTTACTTTTAATGGGCCCCCACTGAGCAAACTTTGAGAACCTCTGATTTAAGAAGTTTTTTTTTTTATTTCAATAGATTAAAGAACAAAAAATTGTTGTGGATGAACTTTCTAACCTGAAGAAGAACAGGGTGAGTTATTAAAGTATGCGGAAGGGTTTGATTATATCTTGTTAACTATATATTAAAGTTATAAGAATTTTATATCAGATTTATATTTCAGCATCTTTTTAAATTACAAAAGTGAAGTGTCCAAGATTGTGTATATGTGTATATATAGATAATACGTAGATATCTATCTAAATATAGATGTACTTATCTTAATTTTTGCAGTTCAAGAGAAAATATAAATATACCAATATCTATATATTCATCATAGTTGATACTATCTTTTCCCCATATATGAAATTCATATTACCTTTGAACCAGTGCTACTAATTGTATTATGATACCTTGGAGCTGTAATTACTACTGATATTTTTGTATTTAAATTTGATTTTTTTTTTTTTTTTTTTAGTGAAAATGGATAATTGTTGAAAAACAAAAAGGATAAATTGCTTCCCTTCCCACCACCACATTTTCTTACATAATTATTCCAAATATTTAACATGGCTACTTAATGCCATTTCCATTAATGTATTCATAAACAGGCAAGCTGCTGCTTCATGTGTCAAAAAATTACATTTTAAAGTTCAGGAAGAAATGATTTTGAACCCTCTTAAGCATTTTACAGGTTATTTGATAACTGACAGGTTAAACATTTCTGATATTGTCACTTGTGGAATATTAGAGGTTAAGGCACAATTGATACAGACTTTCTAGAGGGCAAATTGGCAGAATGTGTCAAAACTTTAAAGGTATGTAACACTTTGACCCAGCACAGAAGTTCAGTTACAAAGAACTTCATCACAACATTGATTTATAATAGTTAGAAGTTGGTAGCACCTTAAATATCTAAAACTTGAGGACTGACCAAATAAACTGTAATATGTTATACCCATACAGTAATGTTGTAAAAGAACACATTAATAAGAAAATTCTCAATATAAGTTCATTGATAAAAGCAAGTTATACATCTGTAGCTATAGGAGCCTTTCTTTGTTAAAGAAAAATGATATTGTGGTATATGCAGAGAGAAAAAAGTTTCACCTCCATGTTCATGGTAGCAATGGCAGGATAATGAGTAGCTTTTGTTTCTCTCTGTGCTAAGATACTGTTCTGAACATGTTACTGAAATTCAAGAATAAGTAGTAATAGGGTTCAGAGTTTTGACATCTGCTGCTTTTTTAGATCAAATCATAATATTAGCCTAAATTATGTTTTGCAGAAAGTATATAAGCAGCAGCAGAACAGCAACATATTCTTTCTTGCTGACCGAACAGAAATGCTTTCTGAAAGCAAAAGTAAGTTTTTCTGGTATATTTTATGGAAATGCACAGAAAGTCTTTTGTAGGCTTTATGTAGAAGTTCATGGTAGCACCTAAATTATACTAGCTATATCTGAATGTTTAAATATGTATATAAAGATTGGATGGTGGTATACCTGTTAATAAAATTAATGCAGTAGTTCGGTTTTCTTCAAGTTAGCCTTCCAAAGATGAGTTTATGGTAAAGATAAAATCAAAAATACATAAGATGTGTTAGACAGCACTAATTATTAACATATGCTTTAGAGCTTGAGAGAGATCTAGATATGAGATACTACTTTGCCACTTTCTGAAACCTTTGTGGCTTTGCATGAATTACTTTGAGCCTCCAACGT